ACCATGGGTACTGCGCAAGGACATGGCACGTACCATGGGTACTGCGCAAGGACATGGCACGTACCATGGGTACGGTGCAAGGACATGGCGCGTACCATGGGTACTGCGCAAGGATATGGCACGTACCATGGGTACGGTGCAAGGCCATGGCGCGTACCATGGGTATGGTGCAAGGCCATGACATGTACCATGGGTACGGCGCAAGGCCATGGCACGTACCATGGGTATGGTGCAAGGCCATGACATGTACCATGGGTACGGCGCAAGGCCATGGCACGTACCATGGGTATGGTGCAAGGTCATGATACGTACCCTAGGTACGGTGCGAGGCCATTGCGCGTACCATGGGTACGGCGCAAGGTGATGTCTCATGCCTCGCAGGTGATGATTCAGTAGGAACGTGAGCCGCTTGGCCTAACCTGACAGTTCCAGGATTTATAGATGCCACACAACGCCCTCGCCCTCTCCTGCCTCCCTCAAGTGCCCTGACAGTGGCTCACTACGTCTTCCGCTGCGTATAACCCACTGCACGTGTTGGTGTGTACTCACCTAATTGTGCTTGCGGGGGTTGAGCTCTGGCTCTTTGGTCCCGCCTCTCAACCGTCAATCAACTGGTGTACAGATTCCTGAGCCTATTGGGCTCTATCATATCTACATTTGAAACTGTGTATGGAGTCAGCCTCCACCACATCACTTCCTAATGCATTCCATTTACTAACTACTCTGACACTGAAAAAGTTCTTTCTAACGTCTCTGTGGCTCATTTGGGTACTCAGCTTCCACCTGTGTCCCCTTGTTCGCGTCCCACCAGTGTTGAATAGTTCATCCTTGTTTACCCGGTCGATTCCCTGAGGATTTTGTAGGTTGTGATCATGTCCCCCCTTACTCTTCTGTCTTCCAGTGTCGTGAGGTGCATTTCCCGCAGCCTTTCCTCATAACTCATGCCTCTTAGTTCTGGGACTAGTCTAGTAGCATACCTTTGGACTTTTCCAGCTTCGTCTTGTGCTTGACAAGGTACGGGCTCCATGCTGGGGCCGCATACTCCAGGATTGGTCTTACATATGTGGTGTACAAGATTCTGAATGATTCCTTACACAGGTTCCTGAACGCCGTTCTGATGTTAGCCAGCCTCGCATATGCCGCAGACGTTATTCTCTTTATGTGGGCTTCAGGAGACAGGTTTGGTGTGATATCAACTCCTAGATCTTTCTCTCTGTCTGTTTCATTAAGTACTTCATCTCCTATTCTGTATCCTGTGCCTGGCCTCCTGTTTCCACTGCCTAGTTTCATTACTTTGCATTTACTCGGGTTGAACTTCAACAGCCATTTGTTGGACCATTCACTCAGTCTATCCAGGTCATCTTGTAGCCTCCTACTATCATCCTCTGTTTCAATCCTCCTCATAATTTTTGCATCGTCGGCATTTTGCATCGTCGTCGGCGTGTGTGTGTGTGTGTGTGTGTGTGTGTGTGTGTGTGTGTGTGTGTGTGTGTGTGTGTGTGTGTGTGTGTGTGTGTGTGTGTGTGTGTGCCAGCAAGTAGATGGCACTGTTGAAGCCACTAACCAGTGGTAGGGTAAGCAGGTAGTCGAATAGTTACACAGTGCCTGCTCCGGGTACTGTGTGTGTCACTGATTTCCAGCAACTGGCACTCCGTTGGCCGGTGACTATCTCTCGCCGAGTGCGTTGTTACAGAGCTGAGAGGTGTGGTTAAAGACGCTGGGTGCAGGAGATCGTAGATAACTGTCTTCATGCTTTGTCAGAGAGGTGTTTGTCTACCCTAATCATGAACCCTAGGGTGTTTGAGGCTAGAGCTTCCGCTAGGACTCTGGAAAAGCTAAAAGAGAAAGACAAGCTAACCAAGAACACCACATCAGGCCAAGAACAGAACATCAGGCCAGGGTAAGAAAAAGACAGGCTTACCATCAGGCCAAGAACAGCACATCAGGCCAGGGTAACGTATCAGGCTAGTGGTGATTGTTGCTGGTGGTAGTGTTGGTAGTAGATGCTAGTAGTAGTAGTAGTGGTGATGATGAGTGATGTTGGTGGAGGCGATTGTCGTAAAGGCCGACTGTGGCTTGATTCATCACCCATCCTCACGTGGTTAAAAAAAAAAACTTTATTTTTGAGGGGTATTCTATATTACGTTTTTCAACCACCAGTTTAGTTTGGGAGTTGGAGGCAGGAGTCCCGGGGACTTAATAGACGGTGATTCAAGAAGTTAAGACGAGTTACGTTCATCTTTAAACTTTAAACGAGGGGAGATTGAGGCACCTTACTGTTCCTCCTAAACGTATATATATGATTGATCTGACGCCATGCGTTCTTCGTTACTAAACGTATATATATGATTGATCTGACGCCATGCGTTCTTCGTTACTAAACGTATATATATGATTGATCTGACGCCTTGCGTTCTTCGTTACTAAACGTATATATATGATTGATCTGACGCCTTGCGTTCTTCGTTACTAAACGTATATATATGATTGATCTGACGCCTTGCGTTCTTCGTTACTAAACGTATATATATGATTGATCTGACGCCATGCGTTCTTCGTTACTAAACGTATATATATGATTGATCTGACGCCTTGCGTTCTTCGTTACTAAACGTATATATATGATTGATCTGACGCCTTGCGTTCTTCGTTAAACGGAGACCAGCAGCTTTACAGGCTTCACGTTTATCATTGAACAATTTTAACGTTCAACCTTCAAAGCCTGTAATTTTACTTAATAAAATTATGAATATTAACCATCCCCCATAAACGCTCATGGACTATATTGAAGGTCTCACGTTCTCCCCCAAATGTTCAAAGACTGTTTAAGGTCTCACGTTCTGCCCCAAATGTTCAAAGACTGTTTAAGGTCTCACGTTCTTCCCCAAATGTTCAAAGACTGTTTAAGGTCTCACGTTCACTCATAAAATCTTTGCAGTGTTCCTTAGTAGAGTGGACAAATAGAACGGCAAGGGGAAACTTGAGACAGCAGTGAGGAATGTGAATGTGAGAAATGTCTCTGCCTTTGGAAATCAATTTTCTCCTTATAGCTATATATCTTTGTGAGGGCTTTAATATATGCTGTTTTGAGTTCGGTCGTTGTTCAGGTGTAGGGTTGGTGGTAGGTGATGGTTCGCGGTGGTTCAATTGTGGGTATGTTGGTACTACTTCTGGTGTGATGTTTGTTGTGCTAGTTCAGGTGTGGGGTTGGTGAAAGGTCAGGTATTTGGTTGGTGATGATCAGGTACGTGTAGATTGTAGGTCAGGGCTTGGTTTGTTGTACATACAAGTATTTCGTCGACTTGGACAATTGGAGAAAGCGACATCAGCCCTTACAAGGTGTTTTGCAGACTTTTTCTTATCGACACAGTCCGTGTTTGGGGTAATTGACAGGGAGGAAGTGGTTGGGTAATTGGCATCAAGTGTTTGTATAATTGGCAGGGGGGCATTTGGAGAAACTGGTAACAAAGGTTTGGGGAAATTAGTAGGGAGTGTTTGTAGAAATTGGCAGAGAATATTTGAGGAAATTGGCACAATGTTTTGAAAATTGGCAGGGCGTGTTTGTAGAAATTGGCAGGGAATATTTTGGGAAAATTGGGAGAGAGTGTTGGGGGCAATATGTAGGGAGCGTATGGAAATTGGTTGGCGTGTGTATATAAATTGACAAGAGATTGTTAAAGGGAGGGGCGGAATTATCATGAATTTTGGATGGTGGGACTTGCTGATAGTCAAAAGATTAAATAAAAACTCATTATCCCTGTATACCAATGGCCAGGTGAAAATCTTGAGCATTTTAATAAAAACATGCTGATCAAAATTTAATCCTGCTTAAAAATCTCATCAGTAAAACTACAAAAATCATTCTTCTGGACGATTGCAATTTTCAGCACCTGAAATGGAAAAGAAAATGGGGCAAAAAACCGCGATAGAAGATAAAATTCCGTTAAAGAGTATATAGTATATACATACTAATTAACCATTTATTTTCACAAACAATAATATCCTGACAAGATAGATAATGATTACAAATGCATGTTGATTGGATTATAATGTAATCGAAGTTCCATAAATATTGTACAGCCCGTTACAGACCTTTGCGAAGAAGAATTTTGCACAAATACAATTTTAATACTAGACTTGCTAATTAGGAACTAAATTGACGTCACAGAAATAATTTAGAAAGACCACCTTAGTAACACAGACTTAGACAAGTGCCTGACGAGAATAGGAGCTGTGCCCCAAGATATGTACTCAAGTCACATGCCACTCTGGAAAAAAAAGAGTTAAATCTGCATATTGTAAAGAAAACAGCACTTCCTCTAACAATCTCAGCCGTCTAGGTATATACTCATAATAGGTTACAAGGGGGAACAATATACCAAGAACACTGTCATCAGCTGTGGCCCTCGGCTAGGCAAACCCTCGCAAATTTTCGCAATACCTCTGATAAATGGCAACGTAATTACCCAGAATCCTGACAGCCTGACCATTTAACAAGGAAACGGCCGGGACTTGCTGCCTACTCGGCAGTCAACGGTTTGAACATCCAGTCATCCAGACAGGCGCCATCAGATTAATGTAACAACCCAACAACTTGAAATGGAAAATCCAACAGCAGTACGACAGTCGTGGAGAAAGTTAATACGTTAGAAACACGGTGTTTGGACTAGTTAAGTGTCGTAGTATAGCACTCGGGGGATTGCAAGCAAGTCCAGACTTAAGTGAGGAGATCAGCCCTCTGCAAAGACCCAATTGCATCTAGGCATTAGCTGTAAAGCGGTAATGGTCACTCGTGGACACGACGGAGAGGGAGAGAGGGAAAGGGAGAGAGAGGGAGGGAGAGAGAGGGAGGGATAAAGAGGGAGGGATAAAGAGGGAGGGACGGAGAGAGATGTTCTTAACTCCTAGTGTTATCTGCAAAGGATGATACAGTACTATAGGTTGTGTCCTTGTCTATGTCCGATATGAGGATGAGAAAAAGTATTGGAGCAAGCACAGTACCCTGGGGGACTGAGCTCTTCACGGTTGATATTCCGGATTCTGTTTTGTTGACTATTACACATTGGGTTCTATTAGTCAGAAATTTGTAGATACATCCTATTTTCCCGGTAATTCATTTTGAACGCATTTTATGTGCAATAACACCATGGTCACATTTGTCAAAGGCTTTTGCGAAATCTGTGTAAATTACATCAACGTTTTCTTTGTCTTCCATGGCATCTAATTCCATGTCATAGTGGTCCAGCAACTGCGACAGGCAAGAGCGCCCTGTTCTGAAACCATGTTGTCCGGGGTTATGGGGATGCTGTGATTCCATGTATTTTGTGTTCTTACTTCTTAGCCCTTTTTTAAAGATTTTTTATGGTGTGCGATGTTAGTGCTGCCGGTCTAATTTTTTGCGTCTGCATTATTTCCTCCTTTATGGAGTGGTGCTATCTCTGCTGTTTTTAATATGTCAGGAATAACGCCAGTATCTAGGCTTTGTCTCCAAAGAATGTGAAGCGCCTGCGATTTTTTTTTTACGGTTCTTAATGAATATTGACTTCCAAGAATCAGGGCCTGGTGTAGAGTGCATAGGCATACTGTCTACGGCTTCTTCATAATCCAGTGAGGATAGGGCGACATCTGATATATGATTTGATGTTGACACCACATTCAAGAAAAATTTATTTGCGTTATCAATCTTCAAGTTGTTTAGTAGCTCGCTGAAAACAGAGTCTTACTGATTTCTCAGTATTTCGCTCATTTCTTTGTTGTCATCAGTGAAAGTTCCATCTCCCTTTCGCAGGGGCTCGATACTAGATGTAGATTTTTATCTTGATCTTGAATAGGGGAAAAAATATTTCGGATTTCTTTCTTATTTCAATGATGGCCTTTTGCTTTCTTTGTTTCATCCGGATTTTGTATGATTCTTGTAGCTTTAGTTTACAGTTTACAGGTTGGTGGATGTTGTCAGAATGGTTGACAGTAGAATACTTATGTTGGTTGTCTAGTTGCTTGGTGGATAGGTTGGTGCGTTGGGTTGTCGGCGTCGCTGTCACCCATCCTAAAATACTTTTCCTTATTATTTCCTGCTTAAAAGTATTGCAGCTCGTACTGATTCAGTTCCAAACCAGAGTGTGAAGTGAAGCTGTCTCTACCTTCCCTCTCTCCTCTTCCTCTTCCCCCGCCCGTCTTTCCCATTCTCTTCAACCCCTTCCCATTTCCAGTCTTATAGCAACTCCTCTCTCTCCTCTTTCCCCTTTAACCTGTGCATACAAACCCTGATCATTCGGTCTGTAATTAATACGTCAGGCTGCGGGCATCGGCGACTAAACAGCCTGGTTGACCCAACCACCACGAACCAAGGAGGCTTGGTCAGCGACCGGACTGCTGGGACATTGATCTTCGGAACCACCTCGACTAAAAGAACTGGAGAGAACTCCAGGAACAGCAAGAATGGAGAGGGCTTTATTTACACCTCCGGACCCCTATTGTTTCTTGCTTTTCATTCTGGAAACAAAATACACTGTTCACTGCTGCCTGTTACCTCTCTCGTTATGCCTAAGCCGGAAAGAATGCGTGTGTAATACATCAGTTGTATTTTTTCCAAGGCCTGTTCGTTTTCACAACATTCTGTTAAGGTTATTTTTATCTTTATTTTATCAGAAAATCCATCAGGGTTGACCTCTTAACCTCAGAAACACAGGCCAGGTGCAAACTCAGTTGAAACTTGTGAAAAAAATGAAGAAAATAGGTCACATTAACGTGGCTGAAACAAATATTTTTTTTTACTGTTGGTTCCGAGAATCAACGTTCCTGCGGCCCGGCCTCTGACCTGACCCATTGGTTGGTGGTCAGGGGCCTGATTCACGAAAGCACTTACACAAGCACTTACGAACCTGTACATCTTTTCTCAATCTTTGGCGACTTTGTTTACAATTATTAAACAGTTAATGAGCTCCGAAGCACCAGGAGGCTGTTTATAACAATAATAACAGTTGAATGGGAAGTTTTCATGCTTGTAAACTGTTAAATAAATGTAACCAAAGCCGTCAAAGATTGAGGAAAGATGGACACGTTCGTAAGTGCTTTCGTGAATCTGGCCCCTGGTCAACCAGGCTGTTAGACGCAGCTATTCTCAGCCTGACGTATGAATCACAGCCCGGTTCATTAGGTTCCCTTTGGAGGTGTTCATTAAGTTGTTTGATGAACACACCAACAACTTGGGCTGGAGGGTAGAGCGACGGTCTCGCTTCCTGCAAGTCGGCGTTCAATCCCCGACCGTCCATAAGTGGTTGGGCACCATTCCTTCCCCTCGTCCCATCCCAAATCCTTATCCTTACCCCCTACTCAGTGCTATATAGTCATAATGACTTTGCACTTTTCCCTGATAGTTCCCTTCCCTTCTCTGATGAACACAGTGAGATGATGACCACGTTTCGAGCAAGACGGACCGAAATGGCCTCACTTTCATTTCATATGTGCGGGTTGGGTTATATATGATAATTATGCGCTGCTAATCATATTTTTTAATTTGTTCCAATGAGAAAATGGTTAATGCAATCATTTTGTGAGTCATCTGGTATTTCAATGGCATAAAGGGAACGCTTTTGTTCGTTTAATGCTTCAAAATGGTTCGTTTAATGTTTCAAAATACAGTATTTAGTTTCGTGCTTTAAAATGTTTACTTCAATGCTTAAAATGTTTCGTTTAATGCTTAAAATGTTTCAATTAATGCTTAAAATATTTAGTTTAATGCTTAAAATGTTTGGTTTAACGTTAAAAATGTTTCGTTTAATGCTTAAAATATTTAGTTTAATGCTTAAAATGTTTTGTTTAATGCTTAATATGTTTCGTTTAATGCTTATAATGTTTCATTTAATGCTTAAAATGTTTCATTTAATCCTTAAAATGTTTTAATATTAAAAATGTTTCGTATAATGCTTAAAATGTTTCGTTTAATGCTTAATGTGTTTCGTTTAATGCTTATAATGTCGTTTAATGCTTAAAATGTTTCGTTTAATGCTTTAAAGTGTTGCTCACAGAGCCCTCGTGTCCGTTTTCATTTACTCACTCCCGTAACTAAGGAGTGATGTGACTTTGCTTGACAGTTGAGATTAATGGATGAAGCTGCCGTGTGTGTATGTGTGTGTGTATGTGTGTGTGTGTGTGTGTGTGTGTGTGTGTGTGTGTGTGTGTGTGTGTGTGTGTGTGTGTGTGTGTGTGTGTGTGTGTGTGTGTGTGTGTGTGTGTGTGTGTCCAGTTGGGTAGTTTGGATATAGAGTTAGTTGTTATTGTCGTTACAATTGGTGTTGTTAGTTGAAGTGGTTTCCGGGTTGGTCTTCTCTGCTCTCATTACTCATGCCTTCGTGTCCCAGCGTGTCCCAGCGTGTGCGGGGTTAAATGTAAAGTCAGAGAGTGATTCTCGTTGCAACTGGACCTGTGGTTCATTAATTCTCTGATTCCCTGTCTGGGGAATTGAACAGTGTGCACTAGTGTGGTGCTCATCTAGTGTGCTTGCGAGGGTTGAGCTCTGGCTCTTTGGTCCCGCCTCTCAGCTGTCACTCAACTGGCGGAGTGTGTTCCAGGACAGGAAATCAGCTCACAAATGAGTCGTGGAATTGAGTGATGCATTTGCAAGAAAAAATGCAATTCGTGAAATCCACGTCTAATGGGACATCCAGGCGATGAAAAACCTGTGAATGTGTATTTTTTAAATCATTATGAAATTGATCTCTAAGACCTTCTGAAGAAAATATGTCGCTGAAACTAGGATTATGTCAAATGTTAGCGATTTGTTTGTTTATTTTGAGCTGAATTGGCCCCCCCCCCCTCGCACTATTGTTTATTCATTCCGTTATGTTTTATGTATTTATCTGAGCTGTATTATGGGGGTCAGTTTTGAAAATGGATGGATGGCTACACACATCTCATACACGGCTAATACACTCACTTATACACGTCTCATTCGCGGCTCATACACACTGCGCACGTTTCTCACACACGCCTTCGTGTATACCCATATAGGCTTGGTATAAACCCATATAGGCTTGGTATAAACCCATATAGCCTTGGTATAAACCCATATAGGCTCGGTATAAACCCATATAGCCTTGGTATAAACCCATATAGGCTCGGTATAAACCCATATAGGCTCGGTATAAACCCATATAGCCTTGGTATAAACCCATATAGCCTTGGTATAAACCCATATAGCCTTGGTATAAACCCATATAGCCTTGGTATAAACCCATATAGCCTTGGTATAAACCCATATAGCCTTGGTATAAACCCATATAGCCTTGGTATAAATCCATATAGCCTTGGTATAAACCCATATAGCCTTGGTATAAACCCATATAGCCTTGGTATAAACCCATGTAGCCTTGGTATAAACCCATATAGCCTTGGTATAAACCCATATAGCCTTGGTATAAACCCATATAGCCTTGGTATAAACCCATATAGCCTTGGTATAAACCCATATAGCCTTGGTATAAACCCATATAGCCTTGGTGTAAACCCATATAGCCTTGGTATAAACCCATTTAGCCTTGGTATAAACCCATATAGCCTTGGTATAAACCCATATAGCCTTGGTATAAACCCATATAGCCTTGGTATAAACCCATATAGCCTTGGTATAAACCCATATAGCCTTGGTATAAACCCATATAGCCTTGGTATAAACCCATATAGCCTTGGTATAAACCCATATAGCCTTGGTGTAAACCGATGCAGACTTGATACCAATTCGTAGTTTGTGATTTATATAAAACAAAACATAAAATATTTGCTCCTTTTTATGGTTCGTGTCACGATGGAATTAATTAATTCAGAAATGTTGCAGCTGCAATTAGATACGCGATGAAGGTGTTTCGCAAATGTTGTCAAGTTGAACACATTCCACGGCAGAAGTTTCTGAAAGAAGGGTTCAAGATTTCACCTAAGAATCAAAGTATCTGCTGAGGGCTCTTGGTCCATTCGAGGCAGCTCCTATTGACCCATACGAGGCAGCTTTTATTGACCCATAAGAGGCAGCTCCTATTGACCCCCTATTGACCCATACGAGGCAGCTCCTATTGACCCCCTATTGACCCATACGAGGCAGCTCCTATTGACCCCCTATTGACCCATACGAGGCAGCTCCTATTGACCCATACGAGGCAGCTCCTATTGACCCCTATTGACCCCTATTGACCCATACGAGGCAGCTCTTATCGACCCACACGAGGCAGCTCATATTTATGTCTAACGGGCACGTGAAACAATTCAGCTATATAACGTCTATTATATTGCCATATAATTTGTTCCATAATTCAACACCCCGGTTTCCAAACCAGTATTTACCCAGGTCTTTCCTAAATCTAAACGGTTTTGTGTTGAAATACTGAACACCTTATTTATATCCACCTTTATCTTATCCTCTCCCTTTATCTTTAATCCCCCTTTTATATCTATTTATGTACCACAATCATGTCACTTAAGAGACTTACCTGTAAGAAATATGAGATGAACCGCGTTGAGGTGAATTGTTTGGGCGTGCGGGCCGCTTCAAGCAACAGCCTGTTGGACCAAGTTATCTCAGGACCAGACTTGAGGAGTAGAACAATTTCCAGAACTTATTTCACTTCTACTAGAGGTATACTCCGGGTATACTCCAGCCCCCTTATTCTTGGTATACTCCACCCCCTTATTCTTGGTATACTCCAGCCCCTTATTCTTGGTATACTCCAGCCCCCTTATTCTTGGTATACTCCAGCCCCTTATTCTTGGTATACTCCAGCCCCCCTTATTCTTGGTATACTCCAGCCCCCCTTATTCTTGGTATACTCCAGCCCCCTTATTCTTGGTATACTCCAGCCCCCTTATTCTTGGTATACTCCAGCCCCCTTATTCTTGGTATACTCCAGCCCCCTTATTCCTCGTCTTTTTTTGGGGGACACTGTTCATGATCTTGTCAAAAGGTGCTCATTTCAGCCGCGTAATAATATGTTCCATTATGTTCCGCAGTTATAAATTATTCGGTCTGATGGATTCATTCTAAGTCAGGTAAGGACTCTTGACTCGCCAATTCCCAGAGGTTGATCGTCCGTAACTTGTACCATATGGCTTTCTGGGGCCCCCCTTATGTGTCTTTGTCTCTGTGTCGTATTGACATGTTGGACCCCTTCCCCTACCACCACCCCCAGGGCTCACTTACCCCCACCACCACCACCATCGCTATTGCTATCACTCCACCACCACCACTATGGCTATTCTACCACTCCACCACCACCACCGTGGCTATCCTACCAACCACCACCACCACCGTGGCTATCCTACCAACCACCACCACCACCGTGGCTATCCTACCACCCACCACCACCACCATGGCTATCCTACCAACCACCACCACCACCGTGGCTATCCTACCACCCACCACCACCACCGTGACTATCCTACCACCCACCACCACCACCATGGCTATCCTACCACCCGCCACCACCACCACCGTGGCTATCCTCCCACCCACCACCACCACCATGGCTATCCTCCCACCCACCACCACCACCATGGCTATCCTCCCACCCACCACAACCACCATGGCTATCCTACCACCCACCACCACCACCGCGGCTATCCTCCCACCCACCACACTAGGGTGAGATTGGGTGGGAGGTTTGGGTTTGGGTTTGCTGGGGTGAGATTACCATCGTCATCAGCACAGTACTTGGCTGAATATTGGCATTAGCACAGTACTCCATCTTCAATGTGACGACCAGGTAATGCTGGTGGAATTATTGACCAGGAGAATTTGCAGAGAACGTTCGCTGCCAGCAGCCATTCACTCAACTAAACTGTTGGTGACAGTAAAGATTCCCCCAAAAATGTGTTCCTTGGCTGGTGGCAACGAATATGTTATTATCAACATTTGTTAATCTCTGTAGAAGTCACTGGAACTACAGTGTCACTTCTTTATGTAGTCACTTCGTCACAGCAATGTTACTGCTCAACAAGTCCTGTTGCAACATTCATTGCACAAGTCAATTACTGGGAATGCTACTGGCTCCAAATTCTCCACCACTGAGAATGACACATATTTCAAATTCTCCACCACTGAGAATGATACATATTTCAAAATCTCCATCTCTGAGAATGACACATTTCAAAATCTCCATCTCTGAGAATGATATATATTTCAAAATCTCCATCTCTGAGAATGACACATATTTCAAATTCTCCACCACTGAGAATGACATATTTCAAAATCTCCATCTCTGAGAATGACACATATTTCAAAATCTCCATCTCTGAGAATGATACACATTTCAAAATCTCCATCACTGAAAAGTACACTGTTAGCTCAACATTCACTTAAGATCAACAGTTCACCTTGGTAAGTGGTCTCCAACACCCAGTTAGGTAAATGAAAATGTCGGTGTGTTCACCGTAGATTTCTTGTTCATTCATCTTAAAAATTTTTAATAAAACAAAAATGGGTGATGGAAATAATGGATGGAACAGCAATGCTGTGGTATTTTGCCTGCTCCTTGTACCTGTGTGGGTGAAGACGGTTATCTTGAGGTTATCTTGAGATGATTTCGGGGCTTTAGTGTCCCCACGGCCCGGTCCTCGACCAGGCCTCCACCCCCAGGAAGCAGCCCGTGACAGCTGACTAACACCCAGGTACCTATTTTACTGCTAGGTAACAGGGGCATAGGGTGAAAGAAACTCTGCCCATTGTTTCTCGCCGGCGCCTGGGATCGAACCCAGGACCACAGGATCACAAGTCCAGTGTGCTGTCCGCTCGGCCGACCGGCTCCTGACCGGTTGTCTCAGGCGTTTTGGCATTCCCTGATGGATGACGTGATTAAACTGATGTGAGCTGAGCATCTCCAACGTCTCTCAGCTCATGAGCTGAGTAACGAGCACTGTTCGACTTCACGAAAATTCAGTTGGTCGGAGTGAAAACTCTGGCAGTGACATCAATTTCACTTCTATTACTAATCAATTAACGTTATGATTAACTATTAAAACTACCGCTTGTGTTTAATTGCATCTGTATGATTTTGTAATATAAATACCTTCTTTAATACACCATGGAATACAATAACGTATTTCTTAATTTATGTTAAATACACCATGCAATATTGTAATTAGTTTTATTTCTTAACTGCAATAATGCGTCTTTATTTCTTTAATTTTATAAGTGTGTTAGAGATAAATGTGAAAATTATTACTCTATCAAAAGGCTATGAATAGTTTTAACAGACTGCCGAATACAGCTGGATAGTTATAAATTACATTGGGAAATGGATGTCGCTTGAAGGGTTTATTGGTCGTAATGGAATTCAACAACGTGTTCAATTGCTGGTACCTGATGCTCATCTTGTAGTTGTAGAATTGGGTCAGATTATTAAGCCACAGAGTGAAAAGAGTAGGGGATTGGGGAACTTTATACTCTCTGTCTGTCTGTCTCTCTGTAACACGGGTTAGGGTTCCTCTCTCTTTACTTCTCTTTCCTTCTACTCCCTCTACCCGTATTCTTACTTTTATTCTCTACCAAGGGACTCCAAAACTTTTACCAAAGCCAACTCCACGCCACGTGGTCCTAAGACGATTGACCGACTTAGGATTCTACACCCAGTATGACGTGACCTAGGCTCTGAGCAAAACCCTAGAGTCGCCTCTACGCTGCCACCACCAGACCAGCAACACAGAGCAATGATCGAGGTCTGGATCGATCACGCTAATTAATCAACCTTGGGGCTTGATCCCCACTAGTAGTTTATAACCTCGGAAACTTGAGTGTGGAATTAATTACACGGGAATGATTCGATGTTAGAATCGGCGCCCAATCCAACTCTGCCTCGTGTGGACCACGTGACCAGGACAAGTATACACATAACCAAATGGAAACAATAAAATGCAAATTAATAACAAATTTAATTTATTAAAAGAAAACTAAAACAAAATCTAAATATGTTCACTCCCTATCACTTTAACACTCCCTACTTGACCTGAATGGCAAATGAGAAGACTATCCCTATAATTAACAATAGCAACTATACCTTGGGCGACCAGCTCTAGATGTTGGGCTGGTCTTGGGGAGAGGTAAGATGTTTGACCTCTTATCCCAGCTGCTCCCGTTTCCACACTGATCTCTCCCTTGTCTGGTCTACCCCAGACAGAGTATTGTATCCTTCCGCCTAGTCAAAGTTTTACCAAGTTACTAGCCAGGTTTAAGTTATAACAATTAACCTCTGTTGTACTTAATTGATCCAGACTGGTTGAGTTATTTTACTGAAATTAAATTACACAAACATCTACGGCAGAGCTGTTCCCGATCACAAAAATGGTTATTAAAACTTTGAGAAATAGTAGACCTGTCAACCCTGATGACCTATGACCGCCGGTCACTCCGCCTTACAAGTTAGATCTGATTCGTGACGTCACTGATGGTGACTTAAACTCAATAATTAGAATACTCTTGATATTGTATCCAGTACTATTATACAATACAATTTTAATGCAAAATGAATAAAGGCTAATTTCTCTAAATTACTGAATACTATAGGATGATTCATTATACGCAGCTATGAACAAAGCGTTGGTTATTTCCACCGCGAATTCCCCTGGGGGTCAGGTCCTCAGGTCACCATGCGGGCTCAGCTTCCCATCCTCTTTTGTCGATAAACCACTCTGGATAATTCTTACAACAGCCTAGTTTGTTACAATGGGAAGAGTTTGAAATTATAACCAGATATCAACAATGGC